TGGCTTTTAGGGTTTGTGATGAAAAGTCTGATGTTAGTCTGATTAGGGCTCCCTTATAGGTGATTTGACGCTTCTCTCTTGTAGCTTTTAAGATTCTCTCTTTGTCTTTGAGTTTTGCCAATTTGACTATAACATGTCTCGGAGAAGACTTTTTTGGGTTGAATACGTTTGGAGATCTTTGAGCTTTCTGGATCTGAAGATCTGTGATTTTTCCTATACCTGGGAAGTTTTGAGCTTTGCCAATTTGACTATAACATGTCTTGGCAAAGACCTTTTTGGGTTGAATACAGTTGGGGATCTTTGAGCTTCCTGAATCTGAAGGTCTGTGTCTTTTCCTATACCTGAGAAGTTTTCTGCCACTATTTTGTTGAATATGTTTTCAATGCAATCTCCTTTTTCCTCCCCTTCTCGAATACCCATGACTCAGATATTTGAGCGCTTAAGGTTGTCTGATATCTCTCTCAGATTTTCTTCAATGCCTTTGATTCTTTTTTCTTTCTTTTTTTTTTTTTTTTTGGTCTGCCTGTGTTATTTCAAACAGCCCATCTTCAAGTTCAGAGGTTCTTTCTTCAACTTCTGCAAGCCTGCTGGTTAAACTCTCTGTTGTGTTTTTTATTTCGCTGAATAAATTCTTCAGTCTGGCAAGTTCTGCTATATTTTTTTTCAGGGCATTGATTTCCTTGTACATTTCTACTTTTAGGTCCTGTATACTTTTCCTCATTTCATCATGTTGTCTAGCTGAGTTTTCTTGTAACTCATTCAGTTTTCTTAGAATTATCACTCGAAATTCCTTGTCAGTCATTTCAAGGGCTTCTTGTTCTATAGGATCTAGAGCTTGAGAGTTATTAACCTTTGGTGGTGTACTTTCTTGATTTTTCATATTTCTGGTATCTTTTTTTTGATGTTTATTCATTGTGGCATGGGGTTTCACAGTCCACAGGTTTGACACTATTGTCTGACTAAGATGTTGCTGGGGTTGCTAATTTGGTATGGGTACCTCAGTGACTGCTCAGTTGGCCACTAGTGCCTTGCATGTGTGGTTGCCTATGGTCTTGGGCTTCTCTGGGGAGCCACCTCTCTGGTCCGCTTGGACTCGGCTGGGCTGCTGAGTCACGGGGTGTTACCGCAGGGTGTGTGGTCTCTGCAGAGTTTCCTCTTCCCCTGCTGGATGTCTCTGTGCGTGCTGGGCTGGGCTTGGGATGGAGCCAGGTGGCAGTGGTGAAGCCTACCTGCTGCTAGGTCATGCTGTGGCGGCCCCCCCACAGGGTGTGTGGTCTCTGCGGATCTTCTGCCTCCCCCGCTGGACGTCTCCCCACTCCATATGTACTGGGCCAGGCTGCTGGATTGCACAGTGGTGGTGTGGACCCTATGGAGTTCCTGCCTCCCCTGCTGGATGTCTCCCTGCTCCAAGCACACTGGGCCGGGCTGGGAATGGAGCCCAGTGCCTGCGGTGAAGCTTCCCTGCTGGATCATGCAGTGGCAGCCTCACAGGGTATGTGGCTTCTGCGGAGTCTCCGCCTCCTCTGCTGGATGTCTCCCCACTCCATGAGCATTGGGCCGGGCTGGGAATGGAGCCGGGTGGCGGCAGTGATGCCTATCTGCTGGATCGTGCAACGGTGGCCCCGCAAGGCATGTGGTCTCTGTGGAGCTTCTGCCTCCCCCACTGGACGTCTCCCCATTCCGTGTGTACTTGATGTTATGTTTTTATAGTTGTAAATCGGATGATTTGTGGGAGGGAGTGATGCTAGGGACCGTCTATTCTGCCATCTTGACCAGAAGTCCCCATGGAAACTAATATTAAACTGTTGATGTTCTACCCACTTTGTCCACCTTTAATATAAAACAATCTATAGATGACGCCTCTAGAAAATGATTTCTGCTGGGTATATGCCATCAGAAATAGTTAGAACCCAGTCACCTTGCAGATCTTATAGAGTGATTCCTGACCATCTCTTGTATCATTAAAGTAATCATGTGCAGGAAACGTACAATGAATATCTTGAGTAATAACACTCTCCTGGGCTGGTCCTTTGGCATGTTGTCCAGAACTGCAGATCAATATAGTACAGGAATTCAACAGGCGGCAATCCCACCTCCTTACCAAGACTAGGTCAGGGCTGCCACCTTAGCTTCCTGGGCAAAGCTCGCAGAGGGCCCCATGGAGCCCCCAATTGCTGGAATAACCCGGAGGCCCAATGAAGACCTCCCTTCCTTTATTGCTAGGGTAGAGCAAAATATACAAAGGAAATTTCCCCTTGGCCCACTCAGAGATCAGTTTGTTAAGATGCTTGTATGGGATGGAATGACCACTGATCATAAGTTGGCTTGTGCAAGCTTAAGGGACTGATCCATGGAGAAGTGGGTTATTGCTTCCAAGGAGGTAGGGAGTCAACATTTTCAAGCCAGGACTTTATCCACAGCCTTGCATGCCTTGATTCTTATTTTTGATCATATAGTACATAGCTTGACAATATAAGACAAAGAAGTTGTAATAAGCTGTCAGCTTATTTGCATGTTTGTATATTATGTGTGATTTTAAACAATCTTTGCCCAGATTCTTCCTCATTAGTCCTAGTATTGAGAATTTTCAGTGTGACTTCATTTTATTTTTAGTATACACAGCAGATTTTCTCTACTTACTTGTTTGCAGTAAATGCAGGGATGGCTGCCAAGACGCCTGTTTTGGTCACCTTCCCCCCAAATCCCCCACCGACACGTCTAACATGACACATGACCTTGTTAGCTGGCACCTTCAAGTTTGAGGCAATTATTTCCTGTGAAAGATAATAGTTCTCATTAATCTGAACCATCTTTAGCAAGGACTTAATTGTGACTATCACTGTCACATCCATGACCTTAACAAAAAGAAACCGTCCCTTGAAATGAGAGTGTGACAGCCACTACACATTTCGATTCCATAATGTACGTGATACACAAACTGTGAAGTTATGCTAAATAATGGAACAAAGTAAACATGGCATGCATCCCCACTGATGTCAGAGATTTTTGGCTATAATGACATTGCCAAAACTATTATTACGTAGTCCTTTTAATATCAGTGACATATTTTTATGCTAATAATTTTTTGTATCTTCCCCATGAACCACACCCAAAATATAATGTGTTTTCTGAAGCAGTGAGATTTTGTGGCCTTCCAAGCCCCTCTCAGCTGGGTCTTTCTCTAGATTTACCATTGCCGGTGTAGAGCACTTCTTGTCTCCCATTTGGATTGCTGCTAACGTTGACCAGTTGGTTCTCTCTAGATGCAGGTCTCACTCCTTTTTGCCATCCTAATATTTAGAGGTCATTTAGTCTTAATGACCAACTTTTATAGGTGGGAAGCCCAAGACAGATAAAGCGGTGGGCCCGATGTCACACAGGGAATGACAAGCAGAACAGAACCAGATTGGAATCCACGTGACCCCCTACAAGGCCTCGTCCTTCACATTCTCACCTTCCTACTCCTCTGGCAGCAGCACTGGCTCCTTATGACCTACCGAATCAGGACCCCTCTGCTTGTTTCCCTGACCGTCACCCAGTGCTCAACCCTGGCCTCCCCACACACACCTTCCACCCTCCTTTCTTCCGTGCATGGCACCTGGGGTATGGAACACGGGCAACAAAACGTTTGCAGAGAGATGAGTGAATGAATGAATAATTGGCATTTGATCTTGTGGAACTGCCTGGAAATGGCCTCTCTTCTCTTACCTTCTAGATAAATCTCACTCTCACTATACGCCTTGGGTTGAATGCCCCCCCCCCCAAACTTAATCCCCACTGTGACTGTTAAAAGGGGGGGAAATCCTATTATGGTAACTGAAAGGTGGAGCCTTGAAGAGGTGATTGGATTGTAGGACCTTGCAGTAGTGAATGGATTAATAATGGTGGTCAGGGGCGTGGTTCTGAGGGCTTCAAAAGGTGAGTGAATGAGGAGGTTAGTCTCTGCTCTCTCTGCTTCACCATTTTTGCGATGTGATATACTCAGCCATCACTTTTGCCACCACCAAGGCTCTCACCAGATGTGTTCCCTGGACTTTGGACTTCCCAGCCTCAGAAACTGTAAGCAATAGATTTTGTTTTCTTACAAATTACCCAGTTCCAGATATTTTGTTATAAGCAACAGAAATGGACTAATACACTATAAATCCAAACTTAAGACTCCTTCTTCATGAGACTTCCTGGATGATTCTAGCTCTCAGCAAACTCGCCTTTCTCTTAATTCCTCCACCCATGTAAATTTTGACTAAGGTGATTTAGCATTTGCTGCATCCCTTCCAATACTGTTTCCCAACTGCTTCATGTGAGTTGGGTATGACAAACTTCAGAGGACAGGCCTTCCTCTTTTTTCTTTTGTATTCTTAAGAGCAGAGCAAAGGAGACCTTCTAAATCCATAATCAGTTTTAAAGTTATATACCCACCAACAAAAGGTATTTAATAATACTCTTTTAAAAGAAAGCTTTCTTTTAAAACCTTTGAAATCAAATGTCTGTTAATACGTAAATCAATACGGTTATTATGGTTCAATGGTTCTTCAGTTCCTGAAGAAATGACATTTTTGTCTTTAATGCTCTTGATATATTTTGCTGGCAGAAACCATTTAGCCATGCCCCCTGCAATGCCCTCCTCCTCCCCCCCGTTACCTGTACATATCTGGGAAACTGTGTGGACACACAGACATCTATTTCTTGATCCTCTCCTTTGGGAACAGCAAGCATGCTTTGGGTTTCCATATAAAAATGTTCTTGACCTCCCATATGCACTTCACCTGCTATAGGAAAAGACATAAAAGTCAAGGAGGCAGTCGGAAAGGACAGACAGTACCCTCCAGCTGTTATCCCACTGCTAGTGCTTCTGCTGGGACAGCAGGCTGCACCGTGAAGGGGAATGAACAGCAGTGTTTAGTTTTCAGTGTCCTTGCAGATTTGAAGTAGAGATCTGCAGGGGAATCTGTTGTGTCTGCCCATGTGCTAGGTCACAGAGCCCCAGTGAAAGGTGTGTGACTTTCTAGAGTTGAAATAATATGGCGAGGAGAATTCCTGTTCCAGGACAAGATGCAGTAGATGTATTTCTTCTTGTTCCTCTTGTTAAGTATGGCTAACAATCCTGAACATTATATATAAAGCTAACGTAGAAGACTGAAAGGTGGAAAGAAGAGGGCAGACCAGTGAGGGACTGCAGGACCCAAGGAAAGGCACAGAGTGAGCTCGCTGGGGTTTGTTGTTGTTGTTATTTGCCTCATACACCCCAGGCCTGGTTCTGGAGAAGCCAGCAATATAAAAACACCAATAGGCAAAGACAGAAAGAAAAGCCTAGTAGGAAGACAAAAAGACTTTAGATAAAAGCACTCTTCTCTAGCCAAACACCACAGGAAAAACTGCAGCAAAAGCTGAGTAGGGAGCCTCATCAGGCTACAATGAGGAATCCCAGCCCCTCTGCTGGGGTGATGTCAGTGGACAGCACATGGGGAAGCTGGACTTCTACCCCCACCTGGTAGTAACAAGGCATCACTTCCTCTTTCACCATCAGCCCAGGGTCAGAGTAGTCCTAGTAAAATAGAAGATTTAAGTAAGATCCAGAGCATCACAGCACAGTATCCAAAATATCCAGGATACAATAAAAAAGTCACTATCATTTCAAAAACCAGGAAAAGCTCACCTTCAATGAAAAAAGACAGTCAAATAGATGCCAACATTGAGAGACAAATACTGGAATTATCTGATAAGGATTTTAAAGCAGCCAACATGAAAAATGCTTCAATGAACAATTATATAAACATTTGAAACAAATGAGAAAGTAGGAAGTTTTGGCAAAGAGAACGTGTAAAAAAGAACCAATTGGAAATTTGAGAACTGAGAAATACAACAACCCAAATTTTAAAAGCTCAGTGGATGAGCTCAAGAACAGAGTAGAGAGAACAGAGGAGACGATCAGTGAACAAAAATACAGAATGATAGAAATTGGCCAGGCTGAGCAACAGAAAAAACAGACTGGGGGAAAAAAAATGAACAGAGCTCAGGAAACTGTGACTATAATAAAATAACTAACATTTGTGTCACTGAAATTAAGTATTTGAAGAAATAATGGGTGAAAATTTTCCCAACTTGGCAAAAGACACAGAACTACGGATTGAAAAGGCTGAGTGATCCCAAGTAGCATAAATCCGAAGAAATCCATGCCAAGACACATCATAGTCAAACCTCAGAAAACTAAAGACAAAGAAACTATCTTGAAAGGAGTGAGAAGGAAACACTACCTCATTTATAGTGAAAGGGCCTTCAAAAGACAGATTTCTCATCGGAAACCATGTAGAAATGAGGAAGTGGCACAAAATTTTTCTAATACTAAAAGACCTGTCAACTCAGAGAATTCTCTATCCAGTGAAAATATCCTTCAAGAATAGAAGGGAAATCAAGTCACTCTCAGAGGAAGGAAAATTAAGAGATTTTGTTTTCAACAAACCTACCCTAAAATAATGGCTAAGGTAAGTTTTTGAAAAAGGCAGGAAATGATTAAAAAATGAAGTCTTGGAAAGATTGGAAACATCAGGAAAGATGAAAGATCAACAGAAAGAATAAAAATACAGGTAAATATAATAGACTTCCCTTCTCTTGAGTTTTCTAAATTGTGTTTGAAGCAAAATTATAACATTGCTTCAAGCGTTTCTCAATGTATATAGAGGAGATACTTAAGACAATCGTATTATAAATAGGCGAGAGTAAAGGGACATAAGTGAGAAGGTTCTTTTATACACTTTACTTGAATTGGTAACATGTTGATACTAGACTGTGATATTACGTACATGTGTGTGTAAAAAATGTAACATCTGAAGCTACCACTAAAAAAAAATCTATACAAGGAGATACACTCAAAAACACTACAGATAAATCAAAATGGAATTCTAAAAAATGTTCGAGCAACCCACAGGAAGGAAGGGGCAGAAAAATGAAAAGCAGAGCAAACAAACAGCATACAGTGATGACTGGACATCCTGTTAGGTGGAAGGCAGAACTTTAAAAAATGAAAAATGTACCCGATAACAGTGATTTGCAAATTGAGGAAGATTCCCAAGGAAATAATTTATATTAGAGTTTGGATGGACTTCCTATCTTATCTAAAATCTGAACAAAGAAAGTGCACAGAAGAATGAACAGATTCTGCTTCACTTCTAAAATATAAATATTAAAATTTCAAGAGCTCAGATCTTAACTTCAATTTAAGCTTTTATCAAAGTCTGCAAACCCATGTTGTCGCTATGCTCAAATTCGTGGCTTGTAGTATTACTGATTCTGCCTATCCACTCAGAATTTATTTTGTTAAATATTCACTTCATTTAAAATATACAGAGCCGGAGGGCTGGCCCGTGGCTCACTTGGGAGAGTGTGGTGCTGATAACACCAAGGCCACGGGTTTGGATCCTATATAGGGATGGCCAGTTAGCTCACTGGCTGAGCGTGGTGCAGACAACACCAAGTCAAGGGTTAAGATCCCCTTACCAGTCATCTTAAAAAAAAAAAATACAGAGCTGGAAAAAAATTAGATAGAGCTTTTCCTGCTTAACCCTATAAAGGAGGCCAAGCTGGAGAGCCTGTTACATCATGCTGCACACCCCATAGCCCCCCACCCATGGTGTGCTGTCTTCACCCTAAGGGAGTTGCTCTCAACTCTCTAAGTCAGAAACCAATTTGATCAACTAATCCCTGAGATAAAATTTTATCCCACTTTGGGTTTAGGAGTGATTTCTCCAGGCATGTTTACATTTTAATAAGAGGCCCTTAAAGACCAAAAAAGTACTAAGATATGAACGTGTTTATCTGTACTATGTCCAACAGGACTGGTTGTGGGAAAAATAATCTCAGTTCCAGGGCTCCCTAGGTCTCTTGCATACCCTGTTACAGAGATTGTCCTCTGTGCTCTCCAGTGTAAAGCCCACCCCAGATAACAGAATTTTAAAGAGATAAATGAGAAGTAGGATAGTGTAGAGGAAAGAACACAAACTCCAGAGTTGAGAAACTTAGATTTGATCCTGGCTGATCACGTAGCTTCTCTGACCTGAGCTGTCCCATTTGTATTTGGTGATCTTTAACACCACTACCTTGCTATGGCACCAAGATTAGGTAGAGCTGGAACATATCTTCACATTGGGGAAAGCGAAGAACAACATCACTCCCTTCAAGAATATGTAATGCTCCACATGTTTCATCTTTTAAATATTTCTTTTCTTGGGGCATCTGTTTTCCTAAAGAGCAGGTAAAGTACTGTTATGATAGTGTTATGATTATAACCTCCAGTTACCTCTGTTTGAAATAAACAAAAATTCTTAATCCAAATTACAATAGCAAAGTAAGAAAAACATTCAAACTAGCGAGTCAAGAGAATGAAAACCAGAAAGTAGTATAAACGTCCCTTTTAAAGATTCCTATATCACTTTTATACTTACCAATAGGGTATGGGCACAAGGTAAAATTCAAGTAAGAGACAGACCGAAGAAATTATCTTACTGAATTAAGTAATTAAATAAGATGTCAAGGAAAAAATACAACACACCATAATTGAGTTCCCATACGAAAACATTATGGCAATAACCAAACACTAGAGGGGGACCCCCCAAATACTAATATTTCCAAAATGGTCATGCTGTGTGCTCTCTATGCTAGAAATGTAACCCCTTCCTTCTCCATTCCCATAAATCAAACTCACCTTTTCAGCATTTGCCACATTTTACTAACTCTAAGAATCACCTGGGAAACTTATTAAGACAGATTCCTGAGCTGTCTTGGATCTTCCAATTCCAGAATTCAAAGACAGGGCACAGGAATCTCCAGTTGTCATAAATATCCTCAGTGATTCTTATAATAAGAAAAATCTGGGTTTGATAATGAGAAACACTGGGTTTGATAAATGAACACCTGCCAACACATTAGCTCACTAATAAATAGCCTTGTCTAGAGAACAAAACCATCTAAGTCCAATAATTGCTGTTCATGGATACTGATCTCTTACTATGTGCCAAGAACATATGATTATCGCTTATAATCTTTATAATACACCTTTGAGGTATTTTATCCATATAATTTTTTAAAAGAAGACTTAGTCCTGAGAAGTGCCTCGCCAAGGTCACACAACTAGTAAGACAAGACTCCAAGGAAAACTGGCAGATGACCATGTCTTTCCTATAGCTCCCAGATGACATTAGCCAGTCAGCCCATGACCAGCTTTAGGTTTAACATAGCTAGGGAGTTAAGAGACATGACGGGCTTTGAATGCAAGTGGTTGGGCCAACTGATTACATATTACATAGCTCTGGCTCTGCCCTCAGGAGTGGTATTTCTCAGGACTCTTCCTGTGCTTGGGATCAGGGTTGGAAAGAAAAATTGAGATCGTAGTTTCTAACTGCACTAGAGGCCAATATCCTGGAAATTCACTTAATGACAAACAGTGCCAGATGACTTATCCTCTGCCCTGAGATATGATGCAGACAGCCCATGCCCACCCAGCAACACATATGGGTAAATCAGAGACCCTGTGAGGCAGGCATTAAGGACAGCTTTTACAGCATGGATGACAGCAGAGCATAGTGGGAAAAGCATGGGCTGTTTAAGGCCCATAATACATCTTTTTGTTTTGTTTTGTTTTTGCTATAAAGGACATTATTGAGAAAATTGGCCAAATTTGAATAAGGTCTGTAGATTAAATAATAGTATTGTGTTGATGTTAATGTCCTGATTTTGATAACTGTATGTTTATGTAAGATAATATTTTTATTTTTAGGAAATAAAGACTACCAGTAAAGAGGCATCATGTCTGCAACTTACAAATGACTCAGAAAAAAAAAATACACACACACACACACATATATATATATATATATATAGAGAGAGAGAGAGAGAGAGAGAGAGAGAGAGAGAGAGAGAGAGAGAGAAACAGAGACACAGAGAGAGAAACAGAGAGAATAATGAAGCAAGCGTAGTAAAATGTTAACAACTGGGGAATCTGGGTGAAGGGTAGTTGGGAGTTTCTTTTAAGTTTCTGTAATTTTTCTGCAAGTTTGAAATTATTTCAAAATAAAAGTTACAAATTTTTTTTTTGTCCTTTTTGAGACCGGCTGCACCGCGCTCAGCCAGTGAGTGCTGTGAGCGCACCAGTCTTCTCTATATAGGATCCGAACCCGCGGCGGGAGTGCTGCTGCGCTCCCAGTGCCACACTCTCCCGAGTGCACCACGGGCTCGGCCCAAGTTACAAAATTTTTATTGGTAAGTTATAATCAACTATTTCCTAAGAGGCAAATTTAATTTCAATTACATATGTACATCAAGGAAGAAGTCTGAAAGAAAGGAAGGGAAGGAAAAAGCACAGAAGGAAGGAGGGAGAGAGGGAGAATCAGAGAGAGAAAGGATGAAAGAAAAAGAAACATGGGCCTTGGAAATCCTAAGAAAAGGCCATCAATCCAATGACCAGATGATGGAGTTTGAATGTGTTGTCCCCTCTAAAACTCATGTGGAAATTTGACCTCCAGTGTGGCAGTGTTGGAAACCGACTGAGTCATGGGGGCGGATCCCTCATGAATGAATTAATGCTCTCCCTGGGGAGGGGGGATTAATGGGTGAGTTCTCGCTCTATTAGTTCCCATGAGAGCTGGTTGTTTATAGGACCCTGGCACCTCCTCTCTCTCTCTTGCTCCCTCTTGCCATGTGATCTGCTTGTACCCACAGGCTGCCTGCTATTTTCTGCCATGAGCAGAAGCAGTCTGAGGCCTGTGCCAGATGCAGCTGTCCCAGAATCATAAGCCAAATAAACCCCTATTCTTTATAAATTACCAAGTCTCAGGTATTTCTGTTATAGCAACACAAAATGGACTAATACACCAGCTTTGTCACTTAGCAGCTGTTGTATGATTTTGGTCATGCTCCATAATCACCCTGAATCTCAATTTTCCAAACTGTAAGACTGGGATAATAGTACCCCCTTGCAGGGCGGTTGTGACCAGGAAAGGAGATGACACCTTTAACAACCAGGGCCTTGACTGGGGAGGGTGGTCAGTGCACAGGGCTGCCAAGGGCCAGGTCTCGCCTCCCACTTTGTCTCCCCAGTGGCTCTTCACCCACACCAGAGACAGAGGGGATGAGGTGCCTGTTCCTGAGGAGCAACAGCCACCTGGCTGCTAGATGATTTCTAGAAGGCAAAGGAAGCATTAAACTAGACATGCTTAGAAGCTTCCAGGGTTGCTTCCCCTCCCATCATTTTTTTTCAAATAGTTTTACCTTCAAGAATGTGATCAACCACTTTAAATGCTTCATCAACATTTCCATATTCTAGTTTCCTTCCTGAATCAAAGAAGGAGTTGTGCTGAACAGCTTGCTAGAAAGAGAACACAAAAGTGAGGCAGCCTGGGCAAGAGGTCCAGCTCTATGGCTGTGGCCACACCTCATGGCACATCTTCCCAGTCTGGGTGGCACTTCTCTGGCTGTGGAATCCCATGCACTTTCACCTTGACCCCAGTGAGCTGAGCTAAGAACTAGGCTTCAGAGAGAGAGTCTGCAAAGAGCAGATGCAAAGGTACCCATTGAGTCCAAAGAAACTGAGCATGTTCAGGAAAAACTTAGCAACTAGGTGATCCCAGAATTAAACTAATATCTTCCAGGCAGATGATTCTCTTCATTCCACAACCCATTTTATGCAGCCAAGGCCACACAGCACACACAGAGTGATGGAGTTTGGATGTGTTGTCCCCTCCAAAACTCATATGGAAGTTTGATCTCCAATGTGGCAGTGTTGGAAACTGATTGAGTCATGGGGGCGGATCCCTCATGAATGGATTAATGCTCTCCCTGGGGGAGGGGGGATTAATGAGTGAGTTCTCGCTCTATTAGTTTCCATGAGAGCTGATCGTTTAAAAGACCCTGGCACCTCCTCTCTTTTTCTTGCTTCCTCTCGCCATGTGACCTGCTTGCACCAGCCGGCTGCCTGCCTCTTTCTGCCATGAGTAGAAGCAGCCTGAGGCCCAAGTCAGATGCAGCTGTCCCAGAATCATAAGCCAAATAAACCTATTTTCTTTATAAATTACCCAGTCTCAGGTAGTTCTGTTATAGCAACACAAAATGGACTAAAACACAGAGCATGGGCTCTAGACCCAGATGGAGTTATGTCCATTTTCTCCATTTACTAGCTGTTTGACTGTGGGCCTAATACTGCACCTCATCTGTAAAATGGAAGTTATCAGTTGTGCATACAGTTCCAATAGGGTTGTGGTAAAGATAATGAAATGAAACATGTAAAGGGCTTACACAGCATGTTCCAATAGGCTGTGGTAAAGATAAAATGAAATGGAACACATAAAGAGCTTATATAGCATGTACTAAGCATACCAAAAATGTTAGCTAAAGACACTCAGTGACTGGGATCATAGTGGCTCTGCCCCACACTCCTCCTTTGTTGGATGAGCACTTCTTGTGTACAGGGCAGAAGAGTACCTGGGATGTCCAGCACTGGAAGTAAGATTCCATTACAAGCCCTGCCTGTGTGCCACAGATTCATTTATACACTGCATCTATCAGCTTCCCTGGGTGCCCAGTGAAGGGGTACAGTGGTACATGCAATCAGGGATGTAGCTACAATACTCTAGGTTGGTTTTCTTTTTTTTTTTTTCTTCCTTTTTTTGTCTTTTTTCGTGACCAGCAACGGATCGCAACCCTCAGTGTTGCGCCCGCACCTCGCTCAGCCAGTGAGCGGCCGGTCTGTATGTGGGATCCGAACCCTGGGCGGGAGTGCCGCCGCACTCACAAGCGGCGCACTGTAGCAGTGCGCCACCGGTCCGGCCCCTAGGTTGGTTTTCTTTTTTTTTTTTCTTCCTTTTTTTGTCTTTTTGCGTGACCAGCAACGGATCGCAACCCTCAGTGTTGCGCCCGCACCTCGCTCAGCCAGTGAGCGGCCGGTCTGTATGTGGGATCCGAACCCTTGGCGGGAGTGCCGCCGCACTCACAAGCGGCGCACTGTAGCAGTGCGCCACCGGGCCGGCCCCTAGGTTGGTTTTCTTACCCAGGGTATTCCTTACGTTTGCCTCAGAATTTTTCTTGCTGTAATCCATGTGTCCACTGGTGAATGTGACATGCCAGCTACTGCTACCATTATGTACTATGGGTTATTGTCCATACATGAAATTCCAGACAGTTAGCAGCTGGGTATTCTCCTAACTCTGGTTCCATCTGGCCACCAGTAGCAACCTATCAACACACCTTACAGGGATGTTCTACTGTGAACCTGCCATTTCATTCATTCAAAACCTGGGTTGGTTTATTTTTAACGACCAGTGGGGCCCAGGCTCTTTGACAAGATGCTTGCAGCTTGCTTCTATTACTGACTAGCTGTGTGACCCTGGGTAACCCTGTCTTTTAGTTTCCTCATCAGAATGGTGGTAATAGTTTTTACCTCATAGGATTTTGTGAGCATATAGTGAGTTAATGCATGAAACTGACTTAGAACCATGTCAACCCCATAGTGAGCTCTATACAGTTGCTAGCTATGATCATAGTGTTGCTGGTGATGATGATGAAGGAAAAATTCTGGTGGTGAACATAATTTCTTTCACCATGGTCATCAGCCTTATGTCTTGATCCAAGGGTTTTGGTACAGTTTCCCCATTCAAACTACTAAAAACTCTAAAAATCATAAGCCAGGTTATACCTCAGTGATAGTAACAGAGATACATATTTGTTTTTATTCTATTTTTACTGATAACACACTTCCTACTGGAATCAATTCACATGCTTTTCTTATTAATCTAAGACTCAGATATTCCAGGTTGAAAAAAGCTAAATTCTGTAAATCCTGTTTTAAATAATGTAATCTTTTTCAACTTCACTTGCAGCTTGCTCTGTTAGTAACTTTGAGCCAAATTCCCAAATATTTCTTAGTCAGGGAAGTGTAATATGTGGGGAGATGAGCATATTTCTCTGCTATAAACTTTGATTAAATCTACTCTGATCCAGTTGATTGACATTGGGTTCTTAATCTGTGATCTAAATGTGAGCTAACTCTTTTTCACAATGCCAAAGTTTGGTATTTAATGCTGGGATTCCCTGGCAGACAATCAGGGACCTGCTGGCTGGAGTGGGGAGGCAGGGAGAGCATGGCATCGATTTGCTTATTTGAACTTTTATGTGGCCAGAAGATGGGGTGGGGGGACGGAAGGGAGGATTGCCGGAGACCAGCTCTGCAGGATTCGTTGGACCTGAATAGGTGATGTGGCGTCGGCGAGGAAAGAAAGAGATGGACCACAGATGTCTAGTGCAAGTGTGGACGACGACCACATGAATCTTGCTTTATTTATATTTTTTACTTAACCTTTTACATGATGATTTATCTTTTAATCAAAACATTTATTATTTTATCTCTATAGAAAAAGAAAAATCAGAATGTTCCAAAGCACTCATGCTGTGATAAAAGCACCCTCTCATGCATCAATAGTTTACCCCAAAGCCTGTGGCTTGTGGCCAGGAAACTATACAATAGCAGCATGCTTGGCATTAGAGAGCGTCAGACTTTTGGTCTGAATCACAATTCTTGACCTTTTAAACTTACACATAAACTTATATTCTAAATTCTTATAAAATCTTATTTATACTTATATTTAACAATTTAATGTCTTATGTTTATATTTATTATTCTAATTTATGACCAAAATCACAATATATACAACATGATTTTATATCATGAAACTTGATTAAAACGTTCTATTATATTTTATACTACTATTAAAAACAATTATACTATAAACTAATCTAAACAAAATCTATTAATATCAAAAACCTTTTTATATATTTTTATTATTTTACCTATTCATCTTTATAGTAAAACTCTCTAATTTTTTTACCAATTGACTCTGGGAACAGTACAAGGAACAAAGTGAAAAGTTAAATGATCCTACTCAAACTAACAAAAATGCAATGTATCATTCTTATGATTACTAGGGAAACAACATGTTCTTGGTAAATCAAGTGAAACTATTGGAGTGGGGAGAAACAAAGAAATCTGTAACTGGTTGATGATCAATTAGTTATAAACATCACTGCACTCCGACCCACCGTCTCCCTGGGGGAATGTGGATAGAAATCTAACATAATAGCTTCATTCCACACATACAAGAGCATGACCATTGCCACAATGGGTCCATGCACACATCACTAACAAGGAAGATTAATTAAATGGAGCCAACCCATACCAGGAACATGCATCAAAAACACCTTTAGTACTGACAATGCCCTTTAAATAAACCAGTTAATTTTGATGTATTTTAACATGTCCTTTGAGAAACTCCAGGGAATTTCCCAAAGCCATACTAAGCCAAAAGGTTAGGCTGTTAATTCTGGGAAGCCTTGTCAAGCAACCAAAGGTGAACAAACAAGAACTTCCATGGAGCCATATCACACACATGAGACCCCCTTGTGGCCTGCAGATGCTTTGGAGTTGTGTACTCTTCTGGGAATTTAAGACCCCCATGGGGAAAAAAATGTACAAACTCCCATTGTCACATAATTTTGCATTTAATTTAATGGCGGTCTATTGACCTGTGGAAGCCCACTGGAGTTCATACTTAACAGGCTGAAGAATCCATCCCTTAGATGGCTTTTATTTAGAAAGTTTCTCTATGGTAACATTTTCAGTTATAATTTCTCCATTTTTCTTTTACTTTAATTCCAGGTGATTTCTGTGCTCTCTTTTTCTAGTGGGTGTGATGATTACTCCTTGAATATAGAGTGTAAATATTGTGACATATGGTGTACTGTGTAAATATGGTAACTATATTGTGACATATTGTGTAAACATTACACAATTAATTAAGCACTTTTAACAACTATTGCTTTAGTTACCATTTTTAGTTTCTCCATTTTACACAATCTGTTTAGCACCAAAACAGAAATTAGAAAGAACTTGGTCTTTCTGACAGCCACAATTATGCACTGCCTATAAATCTAAGATGTAGGACTTTCTCGACGATGAACATAAAACCATATAATAGGGAACATGTCTCAGTGTGGCTCTGAAAAGATATTTGGAATATCATCTGATGAGGACATCAGAGCTTTACACAAGCACATACACACTCAAAGCAAAGAAAAGGATACGCTCCTTCCTCAGATATGGTAACGACGTTGTCTCAGGAACAACATTCTTTTCTATCACCTGTACCAGAGGGAAAATAAGAGTTATGCACACAAAGTTGACAGAGCTGGTGTGATACTCACATTGGTAGGATCATGTTAATTTGAGGGAAATACACATTAATTAACACTCCTCATATTTTTAAGTTGATTTCGTGTCTATGGAACACCTGAAATATACAAGTCACTTCTCAAGGGTAATCCTGAGCCCCACAAGCACCGTGCCACTGTCTTTGGTCCTGAATCATCACTGTTCTCTAAGGCAGTCATCGTTTCTACTAACAGGAATACTAGTCTTTCCTGTACAGCTTCAACTAGAGAGTTTGAAGCAGGTGAGGACAATGACATTAGTAGAACAGAACAGCACGGAAGAGGGGGAGAGAGAGAGAGAAGAGAAAGAGGAGTTGGTGGAATAGAATAGCCTCTGAGAAATTGATACAGTTAATAAAAAAGACTTGTTTATTTATTGTGTTTAAATAGTTTCCAGAAAAAAGACCACAACCAGCCATGGCCCCCTGAATCAAAAAACAAAGAAGATAAAATGCGTATGCCAAGTGATGCAGAGCTGTGCAATGAGGACATGCTTAAGCAAGTCTGTGCGGGCAGCCCGAAGCACAGCAGCAGCATAGCAGTACCCGACGCATGGCATGACTGAAATTTCACAATTGGCTATGTTTTCCAGTGATCCTGTTTACTCTTTTTTATTAAAAATTTGAGATTTCTTTTGGATTCACAGTACACATAAAAGCATGACTTCCTTCACAATTCCAGAAGCCAGATTCACCTTTCACCATGTCATGGTAACTCTTTTTTATTAAAAATTTGAGATTTCTTTTGGATTCACAGTACACATAAAAGCATGACTTGCTTCACAATTCCAGAAGCCAGATTCACCTTTCACCATGTCATGGTAATTTTCCCTCTGAGAAGTAGGTGAGGAGGGGACATCTGTTCGTTCTATGGCTGCCTCCTCTCCCTCAATTCTAAATAGCCACATGCCATGTGAACTGAGGCCAAGGTGAGATCTGTGTCCTAGGGGAGTCTGCAATCTAGGGAGAAAAAAAAGTATGTGTGTGCACACACTGTAATGCAAGAAAAAATGTGGGGTGCCACCCAGGCATCTCATTTAATTAACCCTCAAATGGAACTTTTATTCCCCAAACTTATTCCTTCCCCCTTTCCCCTCTAATGTGTCTAATAGCCTCACTATTTGCTATGTCATCTGAGCTTAAAACCTGAGCTATTTTCACCTTTTCTTTCTTTCAATCTCCCACAATCAGTGTCACCAAGTTCTGCCACTTACACTTCCAAAATGGCTCTCTAAACACTGTTCTACTCTACTGTCACTACCCAGAATGAGCACTTATCACCTCTTGCCTGGGAAATTATGATAGCTTCCCAGCAGGTCTCCTGCCTCCACTCTTGGCAACCCCAGTACCCCACTCTATACCACCACCAAGTGACTGCTCTAAAAGAAAAGTCCGATCATCTCCTGTATCTGCCATACATGGCTCCTGGCTGCCAAACTGCCATGCTGGGGATTCCTGAATCACCTGGGGTGCTTCTTAAAAAGGAAACTTCTATGCAGTCAGGATTTCTGGGAGAGGGAATCAGAAAATATGAATTTTAAATGGGTAAACTCAGTGGGGCTTAAGTGAATTTATATTCAAGAGTTCCTAGAGTACAAGAAGAAATTCAAACTCCTGGGCAAGGCCTCTTTGATAAACTGCTCGGCCATCTCCTGGCACTCGATCCACATATCCTGAACTCAGATCACATGAGGCCAGTGTCAGAAGCGCATCGACTTTCACCTTTCACTACAGTGGCATACAGGGCTCCATCCGTCCTGAAAGTCCTCCTGCTCCTCTCTACTTGGCAGAATTTTGTATGTTACCTAATGCCCTGCTCAAATATTCTCTGCGGAGAATCCCACCACCTAGTATACCACTCCCCACTGCCTGCTCCAGATAACCACCCTCCTCTGTGTTCCCATGGCCAGTTCCTCATCTCATTCATGGAACATTTTACCCTGTATCATAATTATTTGTGTATTTATAAGCCTATCTTAGTCCTCAGAGAAACCATCGTCTATTATTCTTTCTGTCAAACACTGAGCTCAGTGCTGGAGATAGAGGATAGGGCTGTAATAAATGTGAATTAATTAAATGAATGACTTGAACATAATATGAACAATTTGCTATGAGAATACTAAGAAGGGAGGAATGATTTCTCACAGAGTGGGCATCGGACAGAAGAAAAGAAAGAAAAACAGAGAGGTTATTGGTGGCAGAAACTGTTGGTTGTCTATGCCAGCACGCATTCTCCCTCCTTTTCTTCCTGCTGACTGTAATAGGGATGAAATGGCTAGAACTCCAGCAGCCACCTTAGATCATGAGGCAACACATTAACAGCAGCAGAAGAAAAAAAGAGAGATGATACCTGGGTCCTAGATAATACCATAAAGCTTCTGAACCAGCCTCACAATGCCTATTTCCAGATATCCTTCATATAAAATGAAAAGTGCCTAGTACCTTGTGTGAACCACCGTCAGCTTTTAGTTAATGCCCTTTACAGTTGAAAGCAAGCCTTAATACATGTGCTGGTGAATCACAGAAGCCTGGTGTCAATGGTGAGACAAGATCTCGGTAGCCTAGATAGTAAAGAATAGCATTGTAACCTTGAGGGATATTCATGTATTCAGGGAAAGAATTAATGAAAGAAGCAGGCCTTGCTTGTTTGGGTATTTGTTCCAGGAGGTGCTTCAAGATATTGGAGTCTGGCTTAAAGTGTCATTGGCTTAAAATGTGTTTATTTTTCTTGATTTGGTGGATTGCATACTTGGAGGAGGGAAGTGGGAACAGGGATCTAGCATGCCTCCTGTCCTGGCAGCTCTTGGAATGAAATAGGGAGGTCAGGACTAAGATGGTGGCTGGGAAACATGGAGGGGATGCAAAACAGTTATTCTCACTGACTCGGGACTGGAGAGATGATGCAGTTGCTTTAACACTCATTTTGCTTGTTGGTTCTTCCTCTGAAGCTGCCTCCACTACCTCCACTTTTCTCTGAATCATTGCAGCTATCCCAGCAGCCCAGAAATTTCCTCTCAGCTCAGTAAACCAAGGACCCTGGGAAACACTAGCCAATGGATAGCTCTTTCCAGATTCCTACACTGATATCAAGACCCTACGTTTGTCGAACAAATAATGCTTAATGACTACTTCTCACCACTCTCAACAATTCTGAGCATGTGCTGGCTCTACTAATGAAGCAGATTATTTTTTAGTCTAGATATTAACAATCCTTTCCCCATATCGAGTGTTTAACTGTGTACAAGCACCTTGCTAACCACTCTCCACGGAATTTAATTTTCACCCCAGTTCCACAGGAGAAGGTACTATTATCAGCTCCACTTTGCAGAGGGGGAAATTGAAGCTCAGAGATTAAGCACCTTGTCTGAGGCTCCAGAGCTGCCAAATGGCAGAGCAGGCAGTACAGAATTAAAACCCATGCCTGACTATTTCCAAAGCTCACACCTCTGATCTCTATGCCTCACTGCCTCACAGAACGACATGCTTCCGTTTCTGAGTGGAGGTTAGAGAGTGTCATCGACGGTATAATTTATTCATGGGCTCTTCCTCCCTTAAACTCCATGTCAAATGGGTCGCCTGTTCTGAGGGCCCTGGTGGAGTGAGGGAGATTTCAGAGATCTCTGCACTAGGTCTCTGACTAATGTGCACTTGCCTTGCTGCCAGATGTCCTTAGCTCCTGCCTGATGACACCCCTTCGGAGATTTTTCAAAATGCACAGACCAGAGGGCAATCATGTCACCTAGTCTTCTAATTGGCTTCTAAGCTTCCTTTTCAAAGGCAAGTTTTTAATCCCAGAGGTCATGTTTGACTTCAAAATCCCTCTTCTCTGGTGGCAACTCTCTCACACTTTTCTCAACAGCCCCTCACCCTCTAAACCAGAAAGTTCATTCTAATTCTAACCATGTAGTAATCAGGCTTGCTTACCAGTACTGAAGCAAATACCTAACAGAATTTGGAAGGGAGAGGAAGGAAAGGGAAAGGGTAACACAATTTCTTTTAATGGGATAATTGCAAAAACTGAATCAATTATCTCATGGTGCACTTTACAAATGATCACAGTACAATTGGCCCGTAGATAAAGTGGGCCCATAGATAAAAATCAGCTTATCTATTTTTAAAAATCAATAGAGCACAAACTGTTGTTAGCCATTTTGTGAAATATCCCAAAACAGTTTGCTTGGAAACAGGGGAGGGAGAAGGGGAGAGAAGATGATGTTAGACTCAAAACACCTTCCTCATTTAACCCAAACCTTTAAAGCCCTAGGAATCTGACCCCTGGCCGTGTCTCTAGCCCCACCAACCTATCCCTTGAGCACACAGTAATCCTCCCACCTCCGAACCTTTGCACCTGTTATTCCCTCTGCCTGGAATGCAGTTCCCCCACGTGTGCTTGGCTTGCTCCTCATTTCATCCATCACTACTCAAATGTCACGCTCCCAAAGAGGCCGAAACATCCACCCCATCTAAAATATCAGCTCTAGCCCCTCACTTTGCTTTATTTTTTATATCAGCACTCATCACTGCCTGATGTTATACATTTCCATTTATTTGTGTGCTGTTTGTCCATTTCCCCAGAACAATGTAAACTCCACGCAAGCAGGGCCTTCCTCATTTCTGTGCTCTGCTTTGTCCCGTGAGCTGGGAACACCTCCTGGTGCCTGTTAAGTAGGCCCTTAACGAATGAAGCTTGAATACTCATGCTCACTCTTTATGAATTAAGTAGTATTATCCCCTTTTAACTGAGGAACTGAGCCTCTGAGAGGCTGGGTTGTCTCTATGAAGTTAGAGTGGAACTGAATCCTTGCTTGTCTAAACAAAAAAGCCGTTATGTGTTTCCTCTACATTCTGTTACGCAAAAGAAAAAAGATGACTAACGTCAATTACTTCACCCCATTAGCATATTTCATCCTCATAGCAGTCCTGCAAGGAGGTCCTAATGGCCTCTATTGTAGATCAGAAAAAACAAACTCATCTTATCCAGGGTAGAACCCAAGCGGCAGGGGCAGATAAAGATTTTATGGGGCCTAGAACTTGCACAATTTGGGAGGTTCTCTTTAAGAAAGAGAATACAAAACTACAAATGTGAAATTAAGCTCAGGGCCTTAGAACAGGCCTCATAAGTGAGGGGCTGATGCTTAACCTTCCTTAGCTTGCTATGGGGTCACCCAGTGCCAGTCAGGAAGAGTGCTGTGGCTGCCCTTAGCCAAGAACAGCGGTCACAGGTGGATCTGGATGAACTGGGCACCAGCATCATGGGAAGCAGGCTTGACCGCCCTTGCTCTGGGGTGGTTTGACTTAGTTCATCTCTATGGTCCTGTCCCAAGTTGAAATTTCTCTTGGCTCAAGAGTGGGAACCAACCTAAATATCCAGCATCAGATGACTCGATAAGGAAAATGTGGTATATTTACACAATGGAGTACTACTCTGACATAAAAAAGAATGAAATACTGCTGATCGCAGCAACATGGATGAACTTAGAGAAAATCACGTTAAGTGAAATAAGCCAAGCACAGAAAGAGAAATACTGCGTGTCCTCTTCATAAGTGGGAGCTCAGAAAATAAACAAGTAAAAGAGAGAGAGGAGAGAGGAGAGAGGAGAGAGAGAGAGAGAGAGGATAGAAAGAAGGACGAAATAACATCACGATAACAACGTTGTACTTTCAAAAGGAAAGAACAGAACTGAGGTCACCAGAGGTGGGAAAGGGGGAGCAGGAGGGGGGTAAGGGAGGAATTAGTAAAAGGCCATGAAAAACGGTCACATTGCATAATGTTGAATATACTAATTACGCCGATTTGTGCATCACATATTGCACACGGGTATTGATATTCAACTCTGTACTCTGCAGACACGTACAACCAAACTACGTTTCAATTTAAAAACTTTAAAAGTCTCTCTCTGCTCATCCTAACACATCCTGACGGTTGAGGCTCAGCCAGCTATACAGGTTGCTGTCAACGTATGGGACGATGTTTCAGTTGTCGCCGGGGCTTTGAGGAAGGGAAAATTGGTGCGTGCCGGCCTTGATGGGTAAGCACAGCTCAGTTTCACTTCTGTAGGGAGGGGCGGGTTGGTAACCAGCCTCTGAGCCTCGGATGGGGCGGAAAAGGGAACGTCAGGAACGTGGGGGCCCGAAGAGCCAGGGCAGGCCTGCAAACGCTTCCTTTAGCTGCCCCCGGAGGTGCAGGTGGGAAACCGGCTTCCCAACGAGGAAGCCCGGAGCGTGCACGAGCGCCCTGAGCGGCGGGCCCCGGAAGGACGAGCGACGGCGGCAGGAGCTACCGGCGGCCCCTGGCCCGGGCCGGCTGCGGGCGCGCTCACCTTGCGGCCGTTCACGTAGAAGAGCAGCTCCGGGCGCCCGCT